GGGCTCTCTGCTCAGCGGGGAGTCTGCTTCTCCCTCTCTCTCTGACCCTTCTCCCTGCTTGTGCTCTCGCACTCTCTCTCAAACGAATGAGTAAGAAATCTTAAAAAAAAAAAAAAAAGATACTTGTATCTTTTTATGTAGCTTGGCTACATAGTGTTATCCAAAGGCTTATTGTCTTAGTCCATTCAAACTGCTATGACAAAATACCACAGACTGGGGGCTTAGACACCCCTGGCTCAAGGGCCTCCACCGACCCTGCTGCCCCTGTAGCCCCAGGCCCTGCCACTGGGAAAAACATCCCACCCCTCCCCTTCCTGCTCCAGAGGCCGAGCTCTGGCAGGAGCGTCTGATTGGCTGTGTCTGGGTCACGTGCCATGCTCCTTCTTCCTTCATTCAAGCTTTATTACTGGCAGGTGGAGAAGCTGCTTTCCTCCTATCTAGGGTATACCCCCAACTCCCAAAACAAAAAAATCAGAAGAGTTTTGAGGTGAGAGGAAACCAAAATGACAAATGTCCTTTCCTTTTGGGACCTCAACTGGATGTTTCTCAAGTTCCCTCATAGCCCCAAGAGTCTCTGGATTTTCCTGGTACCATGGCTGATAGAACATGGATTGGAGCTCTATACCAATTAGGCTTCCAGTAAGTGTTTATCAGTGAGTATAACGAGTGTGTTAGCCTTTGGCGCAAAGGAAAATAAGGATGCACACTTATTTATAGCATCTGGCTTTCTGATTCAGAACAGGCTGTTTCAGCGGCTGAGCTCCTTTTGTTTATCAGGAAAACAGTTGATATTTATCATTCCTCCTAGCAATAGGGGTAAGAAAAGCATTTAAACATTTAAATGTTTCTTTGTATATATTTGAGCACTTAGTGGTTATATTGCAATGAGCTGGTTGCGTAGAGCTGTTAGGACAAACCATTTTTGATCGTCATCTATGTCCTTCACACACTGGCTCTTTTGCCTAATTCCACCTATGTGATCACGATTCCTGGTCCCTCCTCTCCCACCATCCCTCATCCCCCAACTCAGTTTCCAAGTACTGCAGGCCTTTCATCACTTGGTGCTCTCTCCATAGCACCCGTCCTCCCCCACTTCTTGCCAGCCCATTTCACCTCACACCCGGATTAGGTCTTCCCTCTGTGCATCTTGCCTACTTGATCTTTTCATCAAGAGGCTTTAGTTTTTATTCCCAAGGTGCTACTTAAGGGCTTCCTGTTCTTGTCAGTATAGTAGAGCTGTTTAGAGGGCTCTGGGGTCAGGTTCAGATCCCAACCCTGCCGTTTAGTGTCTGTGTTAGTGAGGGATGTAACCAGATGTAATTAACAAAACCAGCTCACAGTGACTTAACCAAATAGGAGTGAATTTCTCCCCCTATGACAACAAGTCTGGGGAAAGGCTGCAGTCACAGCACAGTGCATCACGGCCTCAGGGACCCAGCGCTTTCTCTCTTTCTGCTCAGCCATTCTGGAGAATGGCTCTCAGCCTCATACTCCCTCCAGGGCTGAGGGCAGAGTGTGCGCCAGCCGGGACAGCCCTCCTCTTAGACACCCCTGCGGGAGGCTCCCCCAGCAGCTTCTGCTGACATCACATCGTCCAGAATGAAGTCACATGTCCACAGATTTTGGCTAAGCACGTTGCCAGTGTGATCAAAATGAGAGACCAAGTGTTCGTCTTGCCTGGGATCTGCAGATGCCCATCCCACCATCACTAGGCACATATGTGGTGCTTATTAAATGCGAACTACTTCACTTTTTATTATATTTCTGTTCGGGCAGGTTTTCACAATAAACCAGCCAGCATACTATTTGCTGGGAACTTCTATGTACATACCACCCAAAATTCTCTCCCACCTCCTCACCCCACCTTTATCATTTCCTGCAGTCTGTCGCCCTCTCTGTGGCTCCTGCGTCCCCCAGCCCCCTGCCCCTCCCTGTGTGTCCATCTATCAGTCCTGAGGCTTCCATTGTCGCTCCCCTCTGCCCCGGGCTGGCCACAGAGTATTATCACTAGGGAGAACTGGCAGCCCCATGCTGCAGATGCCAGCGCCCAACACCCCAGTCCCCAAGGTGACCCTGATGTCAGTGTTCTGTCCCCACAGGGTGGAGTTGTCGTTTAAAGCTTTTCTGAAAGCTCCCAGCCCTATTCCGTTTCTCTGCTCCCACGCCCACTTCATCCCACCTTTGCCGAGAAGACAGTGGCTGGGTGGGACAGCCAGGAAGGGGCTCTCCTCTTCAGCTTCTAGAGCCTGCCTTCTGAAGAGAAGGGGCCTTGTCTGCTCGTTGGGCTCAGGTTGCCTCCATGGAAAGACAGCGCGTAGATAAGTCTCCATTCGTCCTCCCACAGGCGTGTGCTTCACACATCCTGTCCTTCACCACTCACCTTCTTTTCTCTGCTCCTCGGGTGGTGCCCTCCAGCGCGCCCCAGAACTGCATTCCCAGAGCTCGGCCACCCACTGCCTGGTCCGGGGCCTCTGGGCCTCCAGCGCCCTGACCCTCTCGTCGTCTCCACCCTGAGACCCCGTCTGCGTCTCCTTTCCTGGCCCCGAAGCTAAGATGCTTCCCAAGGTCCCGCCCCAGCTGCCCTTCCTGCGAGCACTCCTCTCATGTTCTCCAACCTCTCCCGATGGTGTTAGCTGTTTTCTCAAGTGTACTTTTTCCCCAGTTACCTTTCTTGTGGTAAAATACGTATCTTACCACCTTAACCATTTTAAAGTGTGCAGTTGGGTGGCGTGAAATACAGCCTCAGTGTCGTGCAGTCATCGGCACCCTCTATCTCCAGGATGTTTTTCATCTTGTAAAACTGGAACTCTGTCCCCATGAAACGCTCACTCCCCTGCCCCTGGCACCCCCTATCCTGCTCTCTGTCTCTATGATTTTGACTGCTCTAAGTACCTCATTCAACTGGAATCATGATATTTATCTTGTTGTGACTGACTTACTTCACTGAGCATCACGTACTCAAGGTCCATCCATGTTGTAGCATATGTCCGAATTTCCCTCCTTTTTAATTTAAGGCTAGATAGGAGCACCTGGGTGGCCCAGCTGGTCAAGCGTCCAACTCTTGATTTCAGCTCAGGTCATGATGTCTGGGTCCTGGGATCGAGCCCCGCGTCATGCCTGCTGCTCAGCGGGGAGTCTGCTTGTCTCCCCTTCCCTGGCAAGCATGTGCTCTCTTTCTGTCTCTAAAATAAATGAATAAATCTTTAAAAAAATAAATAAATAGATTTAAGGCTAGAAAATATTCCATTGTATGCTTACATCACGTTTTGTTTATCTGTTCATCCATTGATGGACACTTAGGTCCCTTCCATGTTTTAGCTATTGTGAATAATGCAGCTGTGAACATTGATGTACAAATACCTGTTTGGGTCCCTGCTTTGAATTCTTTGGGGTCTGTCTTTATGCCAGTACCATGCTGTTTTGATTGCTGTAGCTTTGTAGTAAGCTTTGGAATGAGGAAGTATGAGTCTTTCAATTCTGTTCTTTTTGAAGATTGTTTTGGCCATTTGGAGTTCCTTGAGATTCCATTAATTTTAGGATTGGTTTTTCTATTTCTGTAAAATAAAAAAAATGCCATTGGGATTTTGATAGGGATTGATTGTGTCGAATACGTAGATCGCTTTGAGTAGTACTGACATTTTAACAATACTAAGTTTTCTAATCCATTGAACATGGGATGTGTTTCCATTTATTTATGCCTTTAATTTCTTTCAGCTCAAATGAATGACTTTTGTTAGATCTTCTCTCGAGGCCCCAGATTGTCTCTAATTACCTCTAGTAAGTCACCACATGACACCTCAAGCCCACCATGTTCCTTACCAACCTCATTAAAAAAAAACTTTCTTCCACATTCTCCTTTTATTCTAAAAATTTTCTTTCTCTCTCATAAACACACACGTGTGCACACATGTGCATACACAAGGGTCTTCTCTGCCATGGGTTTGCTCCCAGAGACTTTGGAGGCCTCCTTCAGTCCCTACACCTTACCAGCCATCCCGCCTCCTTCCTTGGATGGCCTGTCTTTGCTGCTTCTAACTCAGACACATTTCTTGGTTCTTAAGTCCCTGGACCATTCTATGCACTTTATTCCTGGTCTGTCTCCACTCTGATTGCACAACCCTCCCCCGGCCCCCCAAATGACCTTCCTAAGCTCTGATGTGATTATTATCACTCGGTGCAGAAACCAGAGGCTCCTCACTGACGGAGAGTGAAGTGTATCTGTAGATTACCCACCGGGCAGGTACGGAGGTGACAGAGAAGTCAGGATTTCTGCCCTTGATCGTTTGTCATAGTGGGATGTGGCCGGGCTAGGGCAGGAAGAGTGAAGACAGTGACATTTATGTACAGTTACGAACTTGAGGAACACAGAGGAAGGAGAACCAAAGCTGGGATGGAAGAGGGAGATGGAACATCCTTGAAACGGAGCTGCCGTATCAGACTTTCAGTGACTTGGGCCCAGCCCACACCTGCCTTGCCTGATTCCACCCATCCCTGCCCGTGTGCCCAAAGCTAGGTTTATATTGGTCCACCTGCCATCGTCGAGTCAGAGCGTACCCTGTCACCTCCACGTCTCTGTTCATATGCCCCTCTTCCAAATCATAGCTGCATTTTTTTTTTCTTTTTCATTAATCAAGGCCCAGCTCAAGGAGCATTTTTCCAAGATGCCATTTCTGAATCCAGTGATTACTTTCCCACGCTTGGGGCACTTGTCTGTCTGGGCCTTGTGTTTGAGTTGTTTGTGTCCCTGCCTCTTTCTTTGGCCTGGATGAGAAACCACTGAGATCAAGGATCGTATTCTAGTCAACTGTGGATGGTCCTGGCTTCTGGCACAGCCCCCGTGGGGGCTCCTCAGGAGGGGTTTGGTGGAGGATTCTGTTTTAAGCATTCAAGGGAATGCTTGGGTTTTGTAGGACTGAATGTGCGTAGACGCAAACTTACACTCATCCAGTTGTGCCCCCGGCATTTCTCAGATGTCTGCATTTGTTCTTCTCTCCGACCAGTGCTTGGAAAGAGCCATGAAGTTTGCCTTCGAGGAGTTCCAGCTCTGGTACCAGTTTGCTCTGTCTCTCATGGCTGCGGGAAAAGTGAGTCGCCCCTTGGGATGCGCCATCCTCCCTGTTAGTGTTCATGTCCCGGAATTCCAAGGGGTGATATCAGACCTTGGAGAAGTCTAAACCAGCTATTCGAAGCTGTCCTGTGGTCATTTGTAAGAGGGCAATCAAATTTAGTGATTTGGGAGCTGGCACGGACGCACCATGGAGAAGAAAAAATCGGACGTATTTGCCTTTTCCTGGCCCTTGTAACTTTGTCATATGAAGACGGGCTTAAACCAAGGCTGGTTCTTCACACAGACCCTTTCACGTATTTGAGAGCATAAATGTATTCCTGGAGGCGAACACCGTTAGCGGTCGATAGCAACCTATCACGTTAGGCAGCGTATGATGCTGGTCGAAAGCACGGGCTGTGGAGTCCAGCTGCTGGGGTTGAGGCCTTGACCCAGGCCAGGTCACTTAGTACCTCCAGGTCCTCCTGGGCAAAGTGGAGGCATCACAGCACCTCCCTCATTGAGCCGTTCTGGGTAAACGAGGTAACACCCATACGATGCATGGACAGCACCCCTACGCAGTACACGCACAATAAAGGAAGGAGCCATTGTTCTTCTTGTTAACTCGGGCCACTTAGTGCCTTAGTAAGTCTGAGATAGGGGATTTTTTGGGCCAGGTGGAGGCAGAAATTTAGGATAGTGTGCTCTAAAATTATGTAGTTTATTTTTCATAATAACGCAATAAGCCTTCACTGTCTTTTTTTTTTTTTTTCTTATTTTTATAACGGCTACACAAGTAAGGAAGAAAATGAGGGTGATTCCAGGGAAGCACCTCTGCTTGTTCTAACCACAGGTTACTCCCCAGTCACTCAAGAGCCCCATGCTCTGGTTGTCGCCATCCTCAGGCCTCCAGGTTGAAAAACCTCATTAACAGGTTTCCCAACCAGAACCCCTGAGGGAAGGCCCTAGTGTTTGGTTCCGTCAAAAACTTCTGAGTTTCACAGAAATAATCTCCTTTTGCCAAGTCTGCACGGGCTGTGAAGGTGCTGAAAGAGTGCATCCGTCTGAAGCCCGACGACGCCACCATCCCGCTCCTCGCCGCGAAGCTGTGCATGGGCTCTCTTCACTGGGTGAGTAGGGCTGGGGCCCTGTGCTCGCAGGCAGGACTGCCAACCTCTTCCACCTCAAGGCACTGAGAGAAAAGAGAGAGTAGCAATCCATCAGCTACACAAAAACAAGGCTCTTCAGAGCCCGGGCCCCCAGGCTCCCTCAGGCCTCACCCACCCATCCTAGGACTGAGGGGAATCATGTTCCCGGGACACTCCAGGTGTTTCTTTTTCATGGGAATGTGCTTCAGAAGTTGAATTGATAAAACAGAATTGGAATTCATACTCATGTAAGTCTTGCTGTATGTGCAGGGGGTGCGGGACTAAAAAGGTTTATGTCACTGAATGATTCACTCTTAGCAGAGCTGAGTTTTTCTGTAAAGCAAACAAAGAGTCACCCTCTACTTCAGCTCATGTGTAAACCAACTGTGCTCATTCCTCTTCCTTCATATAGACTTTCCTCTTCAGATATTCTTGTACAGGTTTGAATTGGGGACTAGTCTGGTTTGTAACAGTTCTGGTGCCTCAAAAATATACCATTTGAGTGGAAAATAGGAAACCCCAGACTAATCTACAAGGTGGTGGTATGGATAATTACCACATACGATCCAGTTTTAATTTCTTTTCTTTAACTTCCTATCAAGATTAATTATAAGAAGAATTTGCTCAAAAGACCACAGTGCCTTGCTAAGGGTCTTCACCATGACGGTCTTTGCTGCCTGTTTTTTTCCATTTATCCTCACCCAGCAGGACAAAAGTAAGCCTTGTTGAGAAAGTGTTCTACTTCTGCTAAATTTGACTGGGGGAAATATGGAAGGAAAAAGACATTTTGAAAGAGCAGGCTCTCACCTGAAACTCACAGCTGTGAAGGTGTCGTGTGGTCCATGCAGGATGCGACCATTTGGTGCCACCAGCGAGGGAAGGCTCCAGGCAGGCAGGCTCCAGCTTGGGCAGGGGAGCAGGCCAGACCCTGCAGCTTTGAAAATGCCAGTTCTCAGCCATGACTCTGTCACGCCCCTTCCAGCTACGGCATTGTTCATGACTGTCACATAGATCTCTCTAAGGCCAAAAATAAACCACTCCTTTTTTTTTTTTTTAAGATGAGTCTAACAAATCTTTTCTATCTTTTTTACATTTTTATTATTAAAATTTCCAAACTCCTCAAAAGTAAAGAGTATAATGAACTCCCAGGTACTCTCACCCAGCTTCAGGGACCTCAACATTGGCCATATTTTGAAGGAACGAATCTTATTATTTTGGCTTCTAATGAATTGTGCCAAAGGTCTTATTGTGGGTGTAGTTTACAGGTGCACATTTTCTCATTGGAATCTGCTGATGCAGGTCCCTGTGCTGTGCGTTGTAAAATAAATAAACGGGAGTTCTGAACAGCTTGTAGGAAAGAGAATCCAAACCTAAATGTATTCTTTTTGTTATTAAAAAAAAAAAAAAAGGGAGGACCCAGACACAAAAAAGTTTCAAGGAGTTTATTTTATATATATATACATATATATATGTATATATATATAAAATTCACTGAATACCTAACACAGCCTAATTACACAACCAATTAGTAAAAAATAAAGATGAAAAAGACAGAACTCCCCCCCCCCACCAAGAATGAGAATGACTTTGGAAAAGAAGGTAAAAAAGCAGTAGGGAAAACGTTAAAGAAAAAAGGCAAGGTGGGAACCCTGAGGACTGTTGGAGAGGCCCAAATAAAGAAAACAGAATCACCGCAGTGGAGTCGGAAGATTTGGGAGTGATTTTCACAGTGACTCATCAGAAATCTGTTTTTGGCAGCAGATGCTTATGGGAACTCATGTTAGAAATTCTGCAGGTCGTTGTTGTTTTTAACTTGTCTGGTTTTTCAGTTGGAAGAGGCTGAGAAGTTTGCCAAAACAGTCGTGGATGCGGGAGAGAAAACGTCAGAGTTCAAGGCCAAAGGCTACTTAGCTCTGGGGCTCACGTACAGTCTGCAGGCCACTGACGGTGAGAGAGGCCCCACCCCCTGGGATCTGGGAACCACAGGGCTGGGCTGCCTAAGTCTGCACTGCAGGGTTCCCACAGTCCCCACAGAGGACTGTCGCAGGAGGCCACGTACGTTGGGTCACCTGGGCGTGCCATCACGTGGGAACCTGCTGCTGCTGCCCTTTTTGCTCGGACTGGTTGGAGAATCGGAGAGCAGGGACGAAGGTCCTGGGTGCCCGGTGCATTGTGCTGGTGGTGCAGAGAGTGCCCAGCTGACAGGCGCAGGGCACCTGCTGGGAGGTGAAGGTGAGCAGGGCCTTGAGAGATGGTTCCCCTAACCCAGCCTGCACCTGCGTCCGCCCCAGCACTTGGCTGGGCTGTCCCTATGAGAGGAGATGTTGTATCTTAGGCACAGGAATGTGGAAGAGTTTAGGGCCAGCCTCCTCCAGGAAGCTTCCCTTGATTGCTTAGGATGCCCCTTCTCTATCGGTACATTTTAATTCACAGATATATACACATGCAGTGTGGCAGCTTACCAAACACCCATGCGGTCGTGTGCATTTTGAATGTACATAGAACTTGGGGACTCTGGCTATTTTTTAAAAATCTTAATTATGTTTGTATCCTTAATGAAGTTTTCAATTATATTTGCAGGAAGTATAAATTAATAAATTATTTTCCTGAACTCTTAATATTTCTTTAAAATTTTATTGTTAAATATAATAGAAATGTAAAAAAATTTTTTCAAAAACCAGCGTATAATTAATGAATTATTAATTATTAATCTGTGTAATCACCACCCTGCTCAGGAGGTAGAACCTTGCCAGCCCCCTGGGGAACTTTTCATGGGCCTCCTCTCCATCACAGTCCCCCTGAAGAGCAAACACTCTGCTGACTTTTATAGTATTCACTTTCCTTTTCTTTTTTTATAGTTTTGCTATAGTTTATTTTACAAATTACCCCGAAGCCTTCTCTCCTCTGCTGTAAAATAGCAGAGACCTTAGAGAAGTTTCGCATATCAATTCATTTTCAATAACGGCTTTTTTGGCTAATTTTTCATGCACATCTGATAAGCTACACGCCCCAGCACCTTGTTTTAACTATAGTAGACTTTCAGCGAAGTGTGAGTGTAATGCCATATAATTTATCCATACAGATTCCTAGTTCGGATCCTACCCCTCATGAGCCCTGTAGCTTTGGGACAGTCGCTTGACCTTGTTGATCCTCCTCTTGCATTCATGGTTTAGTTGGGTCACCTGAGGTCCCCTCTAGCTTAGTCACTGTTGTTCTGAGTTCACTGTGGTTACAGCCACATCTGTGTCTGGGACGGCCTTCCTCCTTTCCCAGTGGGATGGCCCGATGGGGATGTTCGATAGGGCCTCTCCAGTTCCACCCGCAAGCAGTTCTTCCAGGACTTTTGCTCCTGCCCCAGTAAAAAGTACCTTTGTAGTCCCCCTGACAGACCCGGAGGGCGCCATTTCTCACATGTTCTCTACAGGGGACATGTGGGCTCACAGCAAGATGGCCTCACACTTTTCAGCTGATTTTCTAGTATCAGTGTTGAGGGTTTGCCTGGTCTCTCCCTTGTGTTTACATCAAGGTATTAAAGGTCCTGGCCATTGTCCAGTGTGACCTAAATGGGCCTTTTATGGCATCAAGCTAGTTCCCTTGGCTCAGTATCCTAGCTGCTCAGTGCCAGAAGGAACTCTGAAGGCCGTCTGTAGTCATCACTGTTGGTGCTGGAATCTCTTCTGTACCACCCAGTAGAGGCAGTCCTCACCCAGAAGCCACATGCCTGCACTTGAGAGAGCAGATGTGCTCCTCTCTGGAGTTCCCAACTGGTCTTCTGACAGCAGGCCCCAATGCCTTGGGCATCATGGTGCCCGGCCAACTCATACTCTCCACTGAGTACGCGTGTCCGGGGTTGGCCTGGGCTTCATTGCCCAGTGCTTGGAGAAGACTGGGCACGCAGGCACCAGAAACATGTTGCTTTTGATCCAGTTGAATGTATAGGTTTTATGATGAGCTTTGTATTTGTCAAAAACTCCCTGATCTTCCATGCCACTGACTAACTGAACCCTTTTCTTAGCTTCTTTGCGAGGGATGCAGGAGGTCCTACAGAGAAAGGCGCTTCTTGCATTTCAGAGGTGAGTGGGAGTTCATCTTTTCACTCGGCTGTGCATAATGACACCAAAGTATGATAAGTATAAAAAGAAGAGATATTTATAAAGATTATGTAAACAGTGTTTTCCCCCTGGGAGTCTTTCATCTTGCCCACTGAACATACAGTATCAAAACTTGCTGCCTGACTTGTTGCCGTGTAATCTGCACTCTTACTCTGTTTATCCATTTGGGCACGTGTTGTCATTCCTAATAAAATGATTTCAGCTCTAAGAAGATGGATACTCTGGATGTCTAGGGAGGTGATTCCTTTTATTAAAAGCAATTGTCATTCTCTAGAAGAGAGATCATTCTTTTCTAGCCTTTTTTTTTTTTTTTTTTTTACATGTCATGCTGCAGATTTTTATATGACGAAATGAAAAAAGCCAGACTTTAGGACAGTTTCCGAAATGCTATGTTACTGGTTTCTAAAATACTGGTTAATGGCAGGCCAGCAAGTCTCGGGACCCTGCACCCTCGCCGCGCTCCATAAACCTTGTTGATTGTCTCCATCATTATGATTTTCATGAAATTCGGAGAATGCCTTATAATTAGAGAGTGCTTGAGAGCTCTTTCCTATCCCTTCTCGAGCCTGATCCTCATGCCAATTAATGCAGACGGAACAAGCAGTGCGTCTTCTGCAGGTAAGGGACCGAGATGCACAGGAGGGTAAAAGAGTTGCCAGAGTCGCCAAGCTATTGAAGTCAAGATAGAATCATGGTCTCCTGACTCCCACTCAGCTTTCCTTTTCCCTACTATACCACACCGCTCTAATTTTGTTTCTCACTGCAGGTATAATAAAGCACCCCAACGAATCATTGCCTGAAAGCATAGCCCCATGATGTCAAATCTTGAATTGGTATTGATCCTGCCACCTTGAATACATTTGAGTCACATTGACTTCTTGGAATTGTATTAAAACTTAGTTACTTACCTAAAAATTTCATGAGGACCTCTCAATACCTAATAAACTTCATTCAATTCCTTTCCTTCGAAAAGGCACCTGGGGTTGCCTGCAGATTTATCACCGTGCACACGTCCCTTTTTTCATGAAATCATTATCACTTGGCTTCAGTGACTGGGGGACTCTTGTCTCGTTTCGTTTTGTTTCCTAGCAGGCTTGCTGATGGCTTCTTCACTTTGCCAGTCCCGGACCAGCTAATGGCACAAAGTACCAGTTGACATCAGCCAACAGACCTTCTCTCTCTGTGCTAAGCTTTTGTTAATGTTCTTCAGCATGGAGTGTGGAAGCATTTCCATTTCAAATGATTTGGAGTTTTATGTCCTCTAGTCCTAGTTTGTCAAACCCACACATGGATGCCTCCGAAAGCGGTCATCACATCTGTTTCACTTTCCTTAAATCAGCACATCTTACCAGCTCTCTAAAAACAGCCATGGTGGTGGTCTGCCTTGAGCTGCCAGAATTCGTAACTTCATGTTATATAACAGCCATTCCATTGGCCTGAAATTCCTTTCTGTTCCTTTTTTTACTTAGGTTTCAATTCAGAGAGATTTTTTTTTTAAATATTAGTTCATGGGAATAAAGAGTAATAAAATCCTGCTAACCTACACGATTATCTTGGGGAAGGCTAGCCTAAATTAGTATTTGTGTGAAATAAATAATATTTTTCAAAGGAATAAAATTATTTTGTTTCAAGTACATTCATTAACTGGAACTATTGTAGTACATTGTAGACTTAAATCTATAAGGGAATGATTTGAAGTAAATAACAATGATTTGTATTACTTCTTAAATGTAAGTGGGTATTTAAAAACCCCTTGGCTGAGAAGTACTTATTTGCTGTGTATTGTAAATCTTCTCCCCACAGTTCTCCTATTAAGTCTACTATCGTTTGACAATTTTTTGTTTAAAGAGAAAGCAGTGTAACTCAAAAAAGATGAGGTTGGGGCTCCTGGCTGGCTCAGTCTGTGGAGCATGTGACTCTTGATCTCGGAGCCCCACATTGGGCATGGAGCCTACTTTAAAAAAGGAAAGGGATGGGGTTATAGTTATAGCACGTGAAAATTGACTCTTAATTATAACCAGAGTCAGAACTCAGAAAGATTTGCTCTCTAGTGGATTCGAAGAGGCAATTTTTGAAGACATCCCAGTTGCATGACTACATCTTAATCCTGAGACCCTCAGCTGTTTGCTGACTCATACACTCAGCCCAAGCAACTGAACCATCTCATTTGCTTGGTACAGAAGTATCATGAAGAAAAACAGTGCTGTCTTCAGAGCTTTCTGAAGATGCACAACTGATCTGAGTGGCTACTTCTAAGGGCTCTCACATCCTCCAGAGAAAAGCAAGCCTGAAAAGAGTCGAGAGCATGTTTCAGCAACTTGACCCCCCATGTGCAGAAATCTGGGCTCCTCCACAAGGACGAGGTGACATGGTGTCATTCGTTTGCTATACAAAGTGGACACAGGTGTCCAATCTCACTCTTTTTTTCTCTCCTCTACTGAGCTTGAGTTTAAGTTAGCATGGTGTGTTTTGTGGGCATAGAGTGACCAACCATCCCGGTTTGCCAGGAACTGGGCAGTTTCCCAGAATGTGGGACTTTCCATGCTAAAACCAGGACAATCCTAGGCAAACTGGGACAAGTTGGTCATCCTATGTGTGTAACTAAGGGGAGGCTCCTGAGTAATAGCTTTCATCAGGTTTGTATATTTTTTTTTCTTAATAACACACTGATCTCCTGCCCACTAGAATCAGGGCTAAAGGGACCTCAAAAACTGACTAAACAAGATAGCAGGGTGATATGGTAGGGAGACCAGGCCTCTGGATTTCACTTCTGGCTTTACCTCTTTTGCTGGATGCTCTTAGACAGGATGTTTAATAGTAGATGCTTTATAAACTGTAGTTATTATTGTTACAAGGTATGTGTCTTATGGACCAGGTTCAAATTGGCCAGCCTTCTCTATATTCTTGTTTCAGCTCTAGAGGATATTGGAACCAGAGTCTAGGGAAGCACTGGGGTGACCTCAGTGCATTCTGAGTTTTAGCTGAGTGCTCTGGGAGGCCCATCCATGCTTTCCAGTAACAGCCTGGCATACCTCTCTCAGGGCATGCTCCCACTGCACTGTAATGATCACTTTGGGTCTCCCCCTCTGTGGGGTAGGGAGGAGCTCCTGAAGGAAGGACACTTGTATTATTCATCTCCAGCCTTCCCAAGTGGCTAGAACAGGTGCTGGCTTCACAGTATGTACTGTATAATGTGGATGGTTGGATGGATGGGTGGGGGAATGGGTGACTGGGGTGGATGGATGGATGAGTGGTGGATGGATGGATGGGTGGTTGGGTGGTTGGGTGGATGGATGGATGGTTGCATGAGTGGATAAAGAGGTGTGGATGAGTGGATAGATGGGTAAGTGGATGGATGGATGGGTGGATGGATAG